AGTTAACTTAAATATATACTACCACTGACACCACCATGGTTTATATATGTACAGCAACTTGTGGTGACCTCTTGGCAAACAGACACTTTAAGTCAGAGAGCAGCAGTAGAATTGCAGGGCTGCCCGTAGGTTCAGTTCATGCTGGCAGACTTTGCAATTGCTCTCTGAGTTATTTGCAGTGTGTTTGTTCACTGCAACCAGGTATATCAATCATGTTTCGCTTGCTACTCTGGATTAAATAAATAAGTACAAAGCCTGGTGGAATTGCAATCAAGACCCAGTGTTTAGACACTCCAGTCTAGTGTCTTCTTTAGGGGTGATCTAAAGTTGCAATTGTGGCTTCTTAAATATATGCCCGACACAATCTCGTGTTTGGTGTCACACACAAGTTCTGATAAAGCTGCTTTTCCCTTGTTTTAAAGTTGAGACAGCCAGTTGATGTTCTTTTAGCCATGTACCAAACTGGTGTTTTGACTGACCGAAATACTCTTTTTCACAGTCACCGCATGGTACTGTATAGAATATACAGCGTGAGTTTTCTGATTTGTTTTAATAGGACCTTTTGGCTTTGCGAAAATATGGCCTAAAGTCAAAATAATATGGTTTTAAGGCAACCTTAATATGACATGCATCTCATTGGCAGGTGACGTCATCCCTTGGGTATTTAAGAAGCGACAATTGCAACTTTAAATCACCCCTGATGAAGACACTAGACTGGAGTGTCAAAACGTTGGGTCTTGATTACAATTCAACTAGACTTTGTAATAATTTATTTAAATGAAACATTTGTTAACTGTACAGTGAACACATGTTACACATGTTAACTGTACAGATGTTAACATGAAACACATGTTAACTGTACAGTTTCCATTTGAAATTTCCATCTACAAAAAACCCATGATCAGTCTGCTATTATTGCCTTACTAGAGTAAGCTGCAGTGGCGTGCTGGCAGGGGGAGCCGGGGGGGCACGGCCCCCCAGCTGGCAATTTTTGGGGGGCGCAAAGATGAAAAGGGGGCGCCAATCCCGCGCCGAATTTTGAAAGTAGGTGGGAAGAAACGCATTCGAAAAAATATAGTTACTAATTCCGCCAAGGAAAGATGTGTTTATTGACTTATAAACAGACTAAGCGCATAGGCGACAAAGTGAGTATATTAAATTGCAGACTATTTTGTCTAACCGTATGGTCCGTATTTGCTACCTCACGACTCACACGAAATCACTGGTTCATATAGAAACATGGTCAGTGATCACACGCAATGTCTCATTACCGGAATATTGATCAGGCTTCGAAGCGATCACGGGAATTATGCCCTTTTTTGCTGGTATTATACCCTTATATTATGCCCTTTATTATGCTTCACAAATCACGAGAGCGGCGCAAATTAGATAGTTGAAGTTATGATAATGTAAAGTTGTGTATGCAATTTAGTTGTTTGCACAAGAAACATTATGAGTAATGTAAGTAATGAGATAATGATGAAACACACCCTTTTGGCAGCCAGGCAAGGAAACCTTAAAATGCATATGCGTGGGTTCCGTGTGTTATTGTATAAAAGAGCTGTAAGCTGTAAATGTATTCAAATCAGTAGAGAATAAAATTGGGATTAGATTAATTGCTGGAAGTAGTTAGCATTGCCCAATTTAAGTGCTGCTACTAAATTCTAACCAATTTTCAAATTTCGACACGTTGTAATGCCCTTTCCTGACCATCAGGTTTCTATCAAATCTTCCCCCAAAGTCCAGGAAATGACATTTCAGAGACTCTAGATTCAAAAATTTTCCTGGGGGGGCATGCCCCGGACCCCCCTAGAACAACCTCGCACCTGCGGCGCTCGGCTCGTGCCTTCGACCCTCGTTTATCAAGGGTAATATTATAGGGGCGCATACTAGTTGCCAGACGACTGCCCCCCCCCAGAAAAATAGTACCCAGCAAGCCACTGGTAAGCTGTTGATTGTCTCCTGTATTTAATATGGGCTATTTGCATCATCCTGCAATCCATTATATTATACACATGCAGCCATGATATCATCAATCAAACTTTGAACTTAGAACTGTATTCAAAGAATGTTATCGAGCGTAAGAATATATCATTATATGCTAAAGCAAATTCGTATTTCCTCTTACAATACTGTATATACTGTATACCTTGTATATAGAAGGATAATAAATTATTTTGACTTAAAAATGTCTTTATTGATTTCTTAGGTTAATCAATCAGGTGTGTTACAGTAGCACGCCTTAAGTTGTGTCACAGCAGCACACTTTAAGGTGTGTTACTGTAGCACGCCCCAAGGTGGTTAGTGTAGCACATCTTCAGGCGTGTTACAGCAGCACACCTGAAAGGTGTGTGACAGCAGCACACCTTAAAGGTGTGTTACAGCAACACACCTTAAGGTGTGTTACAGCAACACACCAAGGCGTGCTAACAAACACACCAAGGTGTGCTAACAAACACACCTTTTCTCAAAACACACCTAAAGGTGTGTTGTTTTCTGGACAAGCGAATAACACACCTAAAGGTGTGCTACTGTAACACACCTTAAGGTGTGTTGTTTTCTGGATATAAAAGGTGTGTTGCTTTAGCACACCTTTTTTTAAGAGTGTACTCGCACTGAATTTTCTTTTAATTTTTAATAACTTAATTGTCAAAACTTAAAAAAAACATCCATGCTTAATAATACAGTTAATTTCGTATTTGGTACTATAAGTTGTACTGTCCCATATGTCTGTGTCAAATGCAACTATAGACTTGCTTCTTTGTATA